ATAAGGTTTAAACCTTTATTATGCTTCTAATCTTTGGGCCTGAAATATGAAATCTAGCACTGGGCACTTGTCTCCTTTGTTCTTTCTCTCTCTAATTCTTTGGCTGATTAACTTTCAGTTATGAGCTTTTAAATTGTGGCTCATTTGGTTACACATATATACTGTAGTTTGCCATTTTCAAACTTTTTACTTCTAAAGATTTCTGTTCTAATACTAAGCTGGAAGATGACCTTGTGCCTCTCTGCTTAAAGGAGAGAAATCCATCTAGGTTACTCTGTTGGCTGATGTGGCCAAGGGTCTTGTATCAGTTAACCTGGAGTTTCTAAAAACTGGAAATCATAGGATCATAGACTTCAATCTTTAAGAGACCTCCGAGGCCACCTAGTAGAATCCTCCCTTTTTACAGATAAAGAACTGAGACCCAGAAACAGAAAGTCATTTGCCTATGACTGCATGGTAAGTGTCAGAGCCAGAATTAAAATCCAAGCCTTTTGACTCTAAATCTAGCTTTCTTTCCACTATTCCACCCCGTCTCTTCTTCCCTGTATAACCTACATGAGAAATGTAGCGTCAGTTGAAAAATATAAATTTATTGAATAACACTATAAAGATGGGCACTGTGAGAGTGTGATGTTTTAAATTTTGAATTAGTCAGTTCTTTACTATGAACCACATAATAGATTCTCCCATCCTTTTCTTCTTTTTTCTTTCAGACTTTAGTTTAGGATATCAAGTTTTCTGACAATCTCTTTTTTCCCCTGTTCTATCTTGTCCTTGCCTTTTCACTAACAAGTCTTCTCGACTCTTCTCTTTTTCTCATCTGGCCCAAATGAGAGTTTTCTTCTTTTCTTCTCCACTCTGGCCATAATTCCTATTTTAAAACACACCATTTCTGGGGCAGCCAGGTGGCACAGTGGATAGAGCACTGGCACTGGAGTCAGGATGATCTGAGTTCAAATCCAAGCTCAGACATATAACACTAGCTGTGTGACTCTGGGTAAGTCACTTAACCCCAATTGCCTCACCAAAAAAAAAAAATACCATTTACCCTATTCAAGAATTTATCATATACAAGTTGCATTTAAAAAGCAGCCCTCATTGATTTGGCATTGTATACTAATTTTTTTAAAAAAATATTTAATTTTAGGGGCAGATGGGTGGCACAGTGGATAAAGCACCAGCCCTGAAGTCAAGAGGACCTGAGTTCAAATCCAGCCTCAGACCGAACACTTGACACTTACTAGCTATGTGACTCTGGGCAAGTCACTTAACCCCAATTGCCTAAAAAACATTAATTTTTAATTTATGGAATAAAACAAGCATTTCCACAACAGAGTATAATTTTTAAAAAAATTGCACATGAAACTGCAAATCTATTATGTACTACATACTATTCCTTTTAAATATATAGTAATCATGTAAATTTGTTTTTTTCTTTTATTTTCCACTTTTTCTTCCCTTCCTCCCCACCCTAGAGATGACCACCATTAGACACAAATGTGTGTGTATGTATGTAAAACCATTGTACACATACTTCTAATTCTCAGTGATGATTAGAGAGTAATGATTTTTTAAATTATTTAAGAATCAGTCTTCTGGATTGCCAGCTATTTGAAAACAGTCTTGTTCTTCTTTTTGTACCCCTACAGCATCATACCTTTCCTATTTCATGCCTCCAAATGTGAAACATGAAAAATATTTTAAATCTAATAGAATATAAAAATGAAAAGTTATCTGGTACTAAATATTTGTTCAATTGATAGGAACTAAACATTAGTATTCTCTAGAATTTCAATAACTTTTACCTAGACTTCTGAATTTTTGAGATAAAATTCAATGTCAAAGATAAAGTTCAGAACAATATAACATAATGCAGAATGTATTGCTTTGTTCTAAAAAATAATTGTCTTTCTCACCATCTCAACTCCTGCCCTCGTCCCACGGGAGTCCACTCTACACATTGGTACTCTCACAAGCATCTCACCTCCCAGTTCCTCAGGCCACTCAGTCATGACCTACTCCTCTACTCCAAATTAGCTCAAATCTTCCACAAGAGACCTTTCTTTCCCTGTGTCCCAGCCCTCTGTTGATGCCCTCCCTCTGACCTTTCCCTCCATTAATACTGAATATTCCTTCTATGTATACATGTCTGCATGTTATCTTCCTCATTAGAATGTGAGCTCCTTTAAGGAGCATATTTTTGCCTTTCTTTGTTTCCACAGCATCTATCATGGGTTCCTGGTACATAGTAGGTGCTTCAGCATTGTTGACTAACTTGATGGTTTAGCTGTCGATGTTCTACCACTCTACAATGCCTGATTTTAATAACTTTTTCTTATATAGACCTCTGTGGAGAGACCACCTTAGAATAAGGTGTTTTTGATACTTCAATAAATAAGCCTCCTTGTATGGTATTTAACATGCATGATTCTTCAACTAAATTCCTCTCGGTAGCCTATAATACCTATTAACTCTAGAGCCTTGAATACATTCAATAAATATTTGTTGATTTGGTTTCATTTAAAATGTGTTAGAATTTTTGTTCTTCCGTCGTTTTTTAGTCATGTCCAATTCTTCATGTCTCCATTTGGGGTTTTCTTGGCAGAGATACTAAAGTGGTTTGCCATTTCCTTCTTCAGCTCATTTTACAGATGAGGAAACTGAGGCAAACAGGATTGAGTGACTTGCCCAGGGTCACACAGCTAGTAAGTGTCTGAGACCAGATTTCAACTCAGGAAGATGACCTAATTCCAGGCCTGACATTCTATCCACCGTGCCACCTAGCTACCCCATGTTAGAATTGGTTTGCCTTATAATTGCAATAAACCTCAAAAATTAGCAGAAAACTATTTCTTTGTAAATTTAATACACACATGGAGCATGGTCTTTTGCTAATAGGAAGAACTTAGTACCCCTGTGAAACTCCGCCAAAACCTAATATAAAGTCATCATAGCAGCTGTTGAGTGTCTGTATTGTTCAGCCCAGTTCTCCAGACTGGGGATAGCCAGGGGACAGAAACAACAATTTCTGGAAACTCTAATTTTCCTCTTTGTACCATGATAACTCCTCTCATTGACTATTATTATAAAGAATCACTCCTATTATCTAACTGAGGTTTTCAGTCTGTTTTCCTTCTGACGTGATGAATATTTCAGTCTGACTTTCACATTGTTATCTAGCATTGTCTCCTGTCTAACACTCAGGGTGGCTGAAGGTGAAATTCCTCCCTCGAGAGAAACATGGTTCTTTTTCAAGACAAACCATCATTCAGGGTCTCCTTTTTGGTGGGAACACTAAGCATGGTTAATGTGCCCCATTATTCATGGTTCCTGGGATTTTTTTTTAATAAAGTCTCTGACAAGTTCATATGATTTCCTGGTAGTACCTAAAATTTAATTTTGTGTCACAAGCAAGAAGAACTTCCATTATAAAGCGATAATTACTTTCTTTTTCCTTTTTTTCCAGATTATGCCAAAAACACTGAATCCTCAATGGAGGGAACAGTTTGACTTTCATCTCTATGAAGAGCAAGGAGGAATTATTGATATTACTGCGTGGGACAAAGATGCTGGGAAGAGGGATGATTTTATTGGCAGGTTTGTGCTAATCAGTCTTTTTATTTCACTCTGGAGGGAAGTAGATTATCAAAAACAGTCTTTGTTTTAAATTTAATTCTCATAACCAACCCTTATCATTGTGAAAGAAATGGATGACTTTACCAGAGGACACGTAGCTTTTGGTATTTATTTCACATTGCAGAGGACTGAAAGGCAGATCTCAGTATTGACCAGTAGGTGGCAGTTTTGACCAGTTGATGGACAGAAACCATCCTAAGTGGAAAATGTGTAAAAAGGATGCAGAGGCAAGTGGTTTCTTTCCTATAGCAGAGATCTCTTGTTTAGAAGCATTGGAAATAGGGATAAGGGAGTCTTTTGAACTTTTTTTTAAAAATACAATTGCGAGTATCTCTTTGCCGCAAAGACACTTTTCATAAAACGTTTTGTTATGACCATAAAATGCTGTTTTTGCAAGGTACAACAGAAGATGGAATCTTTAGAATCTCTTTAGAGATTGTTGAAATTGTGAAGAGTCACCATGTCTTCAGTGTAGGAAGAATGGTAATTAAGAAAACATGTATTAATTTAACAATGGAGTGGGGCAAGTTAAAGGCTGAGATCCATATGAGGTAAATGTGTAAATCTTAATTTATATTGAATAGCTGATTGCATAGGATCATGAGATAAAAAGCTGGAAGGCACCTTAGAGATCATCTAGTTCAAGCCCCCTTATTTTACAGACAAGGAAACTGAGACCCAAAGAGATCAAGAAATGTGCCACCCCTTAAAGTCTTTATTACCTTTTCTATTGTATTAGCTCCCTAAATAGGCTACCTGCTTCTAGTTTCTTCTTACTCCAATTCTTTTTCCACACAGCTGTTAGAATAATTTTCCTAAGGTACATATGGGTTAGACTGTGCTACTCCCTCATTCAGGAATCTTCAATGACACCCTAGTGCATTTAGGATAAAATACAAGCTCCTCACTCAGCAATTTAAACCCTCCACAATCTGATTCCAACCTAGCTCCACAGATGTATTTCTTATTACTCCTTTTCATACACCCAAATTCGAGCCAAATTATCCTACCTATTGTATCTCAAGCTTAGCCATCCACATGGCATTTCTGTGTCTTCTCACAGTCCCAATCCCCGCCCCCCAATTACTCCCACTGTTTTCTCATGACTGCTTCCTAACATCCTTAAGTTCCTTTGAGGGTCAGCTCAAGTGATCAAGCTTCAGATCTAAAGAACAAGTTATTCTGGGAGAAGCCAGCTATGAAAAGCAAGGGTGCAAAGGCCAAAACCATAAGAAGAGGTGACTTCATGAAGCATTGAAGCCGCTTCCATGAGAAACTGAGCTGCTTCTAAAAGGGCCAGAGCATTCAGATCTCTTGGAGAAGTGTGAGGGTGTAGAATAGGCTTTCTCCCACCATGGCCAGGGAGGAAATGGTTCTTGAGACCTCAGTGATAAGAGAAGGGATATGCAGGTAAAAATGTTTAACAGCTGGGGAGATGTACATACAATACACCTGTAAATTTAATCTGCAATGTTAACATTTTCTCCACCTCTTTCTTAAGTCTAGACAATCAACAAAACAATATGTCATGCCCTGATTTATAGCATTTGTCTCTTTCCAAGGTGTAAACACTCAGACCAAAAATTTAATAATTGTCTCCAGTTCAAAATGACTCTAGCACCCCCTGTATTGGAATATGTATGAGAAAAGTCCCAGGTTAGGTCCCATACTGAGAACTGGAAAAGCAGATTTAGAGGACTATGAATGAATAATATCAAATTGGAACTAGAATGAAGTTAATATTAAAAACCAAACTAAGGGAAACGCAAGAGGAAAACAAGGAGAGCAAACAAATGTTCTAAGGACTTTTATGTAAAACTGAAAACTGTTGTTCTCCTTTCCATCAGTTAGTATACCTACCCTCAATTGTATTACCCTTAGGATAATAATAATAATAGCTAACATTTACATATCTCTTTAATGTTTGTAAAGTCCTTCACCTATATTATCTTATTTAATCCACACAACAACCCTGGGAGATAAGAATGTTATTGTCCCCATTTTACAGATGAGGAAACTGAGGATAAGAGTGGTTAAGTGACATTCATGTTCACAAAACTGGTAACTGTCAGAGACAGCATTCAAATAGAGGTCTTCCTAATTCCAAGTCCAACATTCTGTTCTCTGTAGCACCTAACTGTTGCACTTCCTATTACACTCCCTTTTGAATATCTTAAGAGTTGGTTATGTTCTTAAGGAGAAGGATTTACTAGAGGAAAGGTATCCCTAGGGTCTACTGCTTATAGTGGGTCTGGTAGATAGAGAATCCTCAAAAAGCTAGTAGCATGAATAGCACCCTGAAACCTGAAGGGGACAGCAGTGAACTGAAACTTGGGCCTACTGGTAATAATAGTAATAATAGCATGTTGATATAACATTATGGGTTTGCAAAGCTCTTTTCTCACAAGTCTCTGATATAAGGAATTCCTGTAGCATTATTGTCATTAAAAATGGGCTGGGGGTAGGGAAGGGGAAGTTATAGGGTTTAAGAGGCAACGCCAACCTGCATTTCCTTCCCCCTGAGATCTACTCCCTACTAGCTTACAGGGTCACAGTAGTAGCTTCAGAGAAAAGATTTCAGTGTAATATCAAGAACTATCGAGTTCTAGAACTAGTTGAAAAAACAATAAGAGAGGGGCAGAGCCAAGATGGAAGAGTAGGGGCAGCGACCCAGCCAAATTCTCCCAACATTCCTTTCTAGACGACTTTAAAATCACACCTCAAATTGAATTCTGGAGAGACAGAGCCAACAAAAAGTCAGGGTGAGACATTTTCCCAGCCAAGTCAACTTAGGAAGTTGGCAGAGGAAGTCTGTGACGACAAGATGGGGTCCAGGCAGGGTCCAGTCAGCAGCAGCACCAGTGTGGGCCCTGGAGGTGGTGTCTTTGAGAGTGGCAACTGCAACTTCAGAAGCTCCCTCCCTAGAAACAGAAAGGGTATCAAACAACTGATCAGAAAGAGATTACAGGGGACTCTGAGTTGATACTGGGTACAGGACTGGGTGCTTTTTGGAAATTCTATTGCCCATATGCAGCTCTGGGTCACAGTTCCAGGGCCAACAGGAGCACAGTTACTTGCTGCAGGGGAGGCCCTTCCTGGCTAAAGACTAGAACACAAACCAAGAAAGCACTGACCATACCTCTCCCTGGATCATACCACCTTGGAAGAACTGAAAGCCTGAAGACCCTTCCAATCCCCAGAACTAGCTCTGAAATAGCAGCACAAAAAAGCCAGAAAATTGGGACAGTGCTTCCCTACCGCCAGTTGAGCAGGACCCAACTTTAACATAAAGTTCAAAGTCAAGAAATAGACTAAAAAAATGAGCAAAAAAAAAAAAGAAGAACCTGAACATAAAACTCTGCAATAGTAGCAGGGAACCTCAAGTCACAAATGCAGGAGGAGACAACAATGTGAAAAACAGTTACAAGCAAAGCCTCAAAGAAAAGTGCAAACTAGACACAACCCTAATATAAATTCCTATAAGAGTTAAAGAAAGAAATAAGAGTGGTAGAGGAAAATTTGGGGAAAGAAATGAGAGTGATCAAGAAAATTATGAAGAGAATTAACATTTTGGTAAGAGGAACAAAAAATTTCAAGAAGATAACATGTCAAAAAACAGAATTGACCAAATGGTAAAAGACAGACAAAAATTCACTGAAGAAAAGAGCACCTTGAAAAGCAGAATTGGTCAGATGAAAAAACAGGTACAACAGCTCGCTGGAGAAAATAATTCCTAAAAAATTAGAATTTGGCAAGTGGAGGTTAATAACTCCATGAGAGATCAAGAAACAATAAAAGTCAATAAAATGAAAAAAATAGAAGAAAATGTGAAATATCTTATCAGAAAGACAATTGATCTGGAAAACAGATCAAGGGGGAGATAATTTAAAAATTATTGGACTACACAAAAGCAATGATTTTTAAAAAGAGCCTAGGCATCATTTTTCAAGAAATTATTAGGGAAAACTTCTCTGATATCTTAGATACAGAGGGTTAAATAGAAATGGAAAGAATCCGCCAATCACTTCCTGAAAGAGATCCCAAAATGCAAACTCCCAAGAATATTATAGGCAAATTTTAGCACACCCAGGTCAAGGAGAAAATATTGCAAGCTTACCCATAAAACAGTAGCATATTAACAGAATAGATTGGAAAACAAAATCCAACAACACACTGTTCACCAGAGACACACTTGAAACAGAAAGATACACAGAGATAAAATAAGGGGATGGAACAGAATCTCTTATGCCTCAACTGATGTAAAAAAGGTAGGAGAGGCAATCATGATCTCAGACAAAGCAAAAGCAAAACCAGACCTAATTAAAGGAGATAATCAGGAAAACTGCATTTTGCTAAAAGTCACCATAGACCATGAAGTAATATCAAAACTTGTTATAGCAAGTTTGTTTGATAAAGGGTTCATTTCTCAAATATATAGAACTGAGTCAAATTTACAAAAATAAAAGCCATCCCCAGTTAATAGGGAAATTATTATTGTTAAGGAATTTGTTGTTGTTGTTGTTAAAGAATAATTAAGGAAATTATCAAAGAAAAATGACAATTTTCAGGAGAAATCAAAGCTATCAACAGGCACATGAAAAATGTTTTAAAATCACTTAATTAGAGAAATTAAATTGAATTAAATTAACATTAAATTAAATTAAATCCAAACAACTCCGAGGTACCACCTCTCACCTATCAGATTGACTGACAAGACAGAAAAGGAAAATGACAAATGTTGGAGGGCTTATGGAAAAATTGGGGCACTGATGCACTGCTGGTGGAGTTATGAACTAGTTGAATTTGGAACTATGCCCAGTAGGCTATGTAATTGTGCAGATCTTTTGGCCCGGCAATACCTTTTATAAGTCTATATCCAAGAGATCAAAGGAAATGGGAAAGGACCTATATGTACAAAAATATTTATAGCAGTTTTTTTCTGTGGTGGCAAAGAATTAAAA